AACCCACCTAAGATCAGCACTTCAACAGGCTCACACTAAGCAGGTGATGGCCATGAACCTTCCTGATTAAATATCCGCTGTACAGGTCTGGATCGCCTGTTGTCTTGTGATGTGCAATATTTCACTCCCTATCGATACCAAAAATTAGGAAATTTTGGAAAATGGATTCAAAGCACCGCATTTTCTCACATTTATAAAATATTTTTTTTTCAAACCAAGTAACCTGGGAACAGATTCAGACAGTCATACATTTCTCAGTACCATGTGCAGGAAGAAGGCTAGATAGCTTTAGCAAAGGAAAAGAAAACCCACCCTCAGTGGGATTACTGGTGTCACAATCTTGATCAAGATTTCTTGATCTCAGGATTCAATAGGTGTGAAAAACATACAGCAGGTCTTGAATGCGAACACAGACATAAAGACAGCCCTGTAGTCCTTGCAAACTTACCCAGCTGCCTTCCTCAAACCAACAGACACGTGCTTATTTCTACCGTATCTTAAATATATGTAAATTTATCAAAGTGTCAGTAAACACTGAGATTTCTTTAAAGTAGATTTTTCCTTAATGAGGAGATAACCAGTGAATGAGGCTGGGGGGCAGGCAAGGGTCAGTTTGGTTTTTGTGACTGTTGGAGCCCCAGGCATCTGTGTACACATTCTCCCTCATTTACAGCTGAGTGTTTCAGCCTTTCTGCTGTTCTTTTCTCCTTTGTTATAAAAGTGTTGAGGTTCCAAATACATTATTTAAGATTAGTATGAAAATTTAATCTGAAGGAGGTTCTGGTTTTGCTATCCTAGAGTTTGCTATTACTTGGAAGATTTTTCTGCTGTTGTCATCTCCTCACTTTCCTTCTTCTTTTATTCTTATTTTTTTCTCCCTCATCATCTTCCATCAGCTCCAGTTATTGTAGGTAGGCTTCTATGACAAAAAGGTGCTTTAGGAAAGAGTTCTGAAAATGGTCAGAATAATTTTACAGTGGGGCAATCCCTGGGGGATTTCCTGTTTGTCTGTTCCTATTCACACAAGAATGGAGCAGTAGAAATCATTGGGAATTCTTCTATTCCTATAATGCAGCTCTCCCTTTGTAGATCTGGCTGTGGGTACATTCATCTTATCCGTGCTGCTAAAGCATACGGTGAGTGTCAGCACCAGCAGCTAACCCCCCTTTGGAGCCAGTTAAATGTGTGTTGCTGATACAAAGCACCTTCTTCTGGTAGTCAGGCAGAATAATTGGCTACTTAGTACTTAGCTCATCTGATTTTATACAGCATATAATCAAGATCTTATGGTTCCAGAAATTTAATTGAATGGAAACTCTGTAAGAGGTGCTAACTATGTTTTCAAGTTGCAACATGCCAACCATTCAAGAACCTGTAGAGTTTGCCATTAAACTTTCACAGGAGAAGCATAAAAGTGTATTTTCCCAGAAGAAAATGCTTCAAAGTCCCCAGTTTACAACTGAAACAATGAAAGTAAAAATCAGACTATAATTATTTATATGAGGAATTTCATAATTTTTAAATGAAGGGATGAGTGTCTTCCATCATCTACCTGACTCACCACCTCCTGAGATACAGCTCTGCTTTGGAAAATGTTCCTCTGGTTTGTTGTCTTTTGCAAGTCAATGATGACCCTGATTCCGCACTGTTTTGATTTTACCAGTGTAAATTTGGAGCATCATCACTAAGGTCAGCACAGAATTCAGGGCCTAGAACCTAAAGTGAGGTTTTTCATCTTTCTATACCATCATTAAAAGACTTCCTAAAAATAATTGTTTCGTAAATACAATCCAACCCACTGAACTGAGAAAAGAATAGTGATAAAATTAGACCCGAGTATTGCAGAACAATCTGACAAGAATCGTTCTGAGACTTCTAGCCAGTGTATGCTGCACTGGTATTATTAATTTCTGATCAGCCAGCAGAAGTACCTCACCCAGGTATACCTAAGCAAGTCACTTTCATTTAATTTGCCTTCTGAAGGACATGACAGCATCTGTACATTTTGAGGCATAATTGCTGTTATCCTTCAGAGTTTTTTGAAACAAACACAATCATCTTCTTGAATTACTGACTTTCCGTGACATTTTTTGAGGTTGCATTGTTCTAAACTAATATCTTTCAGACAGATCCTGAATAATGTAAGAGGATAAGCCCACATGAAAACCCCAAGAATTCAGAAATGAAATTTAAGCTGTCAAACTTTAACTTAGTTGATCTTTATTCCCTTAACATTCTTCAAACGAAACCCATTTCATTCTAGTTCATAAAGAACATTACCTTAGAGGCCGTAATATCCCTGAATTTTGTTCTAGGTTGATTTTTAAGTTAAAGCATTAGGCATTAAAAAAAATCCACATTCTAAGCAGCTATTATGAACTAGATGTATGAACTGCTGCCAAATGTGTGCTCCCTCCTTCTCTTGTTGTTGTTGGTTTGTGGGTTTTTTTTTTTTATGTTTGTGCAGAAGAAAATTTCAGATCCAGTCCTCAAGCTAGATGTGCGGGGGTAGAACAGCTTTTCTCTGCAGGATTTAGGATGGAAAGACAAATTTTAAGAAGATCTTACCACTGCTCTGCTTTTGAAAAGTACCCAACCACGACCATATATAAAGTGCAACAGCAGTTCCTCTGGAAATATTTCTGAGTGTCACTTGCTTGCATATTAAAGAGCGTCACCATTCTTGACAATATGATAGCACAGTTCTTAAGTATTTCTTTGGGAAACTTGAAAAGTACTACACTTGTTGCAGAAATGTTGTAGAAATGGCTAGAAGGCCAAACTAATGGCCCCCCCGACACGGCTAAGGTGAGACCTGAAGTACCGTGCTGAATTCCGGCTTCTCTTGTGGATGTCAGCACACAGCTATTTGAATCTCTGAACAAACTTTGGGTTTTCATGGCCACTTTAATAGCGAGGATCAGAGAGGAAAGAACACTGAAAATACTTATCCCCCAGTTTATTAGTCACTCTTTAATGCTGAGCCAGAGCTGACAGCTAATGACTTCTAATTCCTTGACTGTTGTTCTCAAAGTGTCCCAGTCACACAGCTGTTTTAGCAGTACCAGCTGAGCTCAGCCCAGTGGGAAAGCCCGACCCCTCATGCTGGTCTCTCTCATTAACGCTAATCCCAGTTCCTAAAGGTTTAGGGGATAGCATTTGAACTCAAACCACCTCAGAGTGCTTGGTTCCCTCCTTCCGCTTTTGCTGAGCCTGCCACAGCCAGGCTGCCATCAGAAGGGTGGTTGTGAGGATAAGTATGCTAAAGAGAGCGATGTGCCATGGTATCTCCATGAGAACATTGACACTGGCACCTCCCATGCAAGGAATTATTGGTTTTACTTACTTTTATTGTACTTCTGCAAGTGAGATGCAACCCTGGAGAGCTAACAGTAGAAAGTGCTTCTACTGGGTTGTGCCTGCAGGTCACAGATGAGACTGGAAGTACTCAGATTCAGTGGAGATTCAGACTGGGACCAGAGGCTATATGAGAGCCAAGACTTCAGATTCAGTGTTAGTACAGCCCTTTTCAGGCATGTTTACTGAGATAATCCCACTTCCTTCCTACCCCAACTCTAATTTATGTGTGCATTCGCTTTGTCTGGAAAATTAAATGCATCTTGAAGCAAAATATTTAGCAGGCAGTTTTAGCAACATATAGCATATAGTTAGTGTGCATACACTGCAGCTGTGCCAAGGCAATAAAACATAACAGAAGCTCCTCTGGAAATATTCCTGTCTCCGTATGTCAATAATCTGCATACTAAAGAGTCCCAACGCACTCACTAGCATGATAGACTGGGCATTAAGTGGTGCCTAAGTAGCCCTTAAAACAACACACAGAAGAAGCTCTAGAAGCATTATGCTCTACTATAAGAAAAAGCTCAGGAAGCAAGGACACATCTCTTGCGGACTTTTAAGTCTATTATCAAAACCATTAAAAAATCAAATTTGATGCAATTTAATTGAAGCTCAGATTAATGTAGGTTTAACTGGCCACATGGCAAACACAGCTTCTTGTAAACCAATTCCCTTAATTGTTTGAAAAAGGATTTTTTAATTATTAACCTAATGCAGTTTAATTTCTGCAGGAAATGGAGCTGAATCCATCAGTGTGGATAAAACGTTTAAAGTGGCGTCTCAAAATTCAGAGAATAAAACTAATAGAGACTTTGTTGGTTTTTAAGTGCAGTTCCACTGCCCAGTGAAAGAGACCCTGCTCACTTCATAGGCTACCCTGGTGTTTATTCAGAATCATACTTTAAGAAGAGTGAAAGCTGCTCTTGCACCTGAATATAGCATGACACATGCAGCGCGAGAACACCCAAGTATAAGAAATTAAGACCATTGGATCAGAGCTTTCCTGTTTCTGCTCGGGAATTCCAAGATATGCAGAGCCCGGCATCGAAAGGGTTGCCATAGCTGTTGGTCTGTTAAAGAACATCCATGTCATTAGGCATTAACTGGCATTCTTAGCTTTGGAGTCCATACTGAGACTCTTAACAGAAGTATTCTACTATTATTAGGATAAACGTTAGGACTGTGATTTCAGTAGGAAGGATTACCCATCCATCCACGCACACGTCCACCAACAGAAGTTCTATTTATTTTAGGGACACTCATGATCATCTGCTAATACATAGCTAACTTTCCTGTCCTGTAAGTTACCATAAAGGGTGACAGCTGGGGAAACACCTTTTGTGAAGGACACATGTTGAATCCGTGGAAAACATTAGATATTTTTCTATGAGTTTTAAAATATGAACTGTAAGAGCAAAAGATGTTTGCTCTTCAGAAAAGAATAGACTAGGACCATCATTAGTTATGCTTTTCTGGCTTATCAGTACTTATAGCTGTTGCTGTGAGAATTAATTAATAAGAGGTGGAATTTCTCGGCCTGTATGGTCAGAAGGTGTACCCTCCACTTGATTTCCCCTTGCAGTGGGAGAGCATGCCCTTTCTACTGCTAGACCATTAGAGACCCATACGTAGTGTCCTACCTGCAATGGATTTGGTGAAGTAAGAGGAGATGGAAGGCCATGCCCTGGTGACTGGCTGGGTTTCTGAGGGGAGCTGGAGGACTGTGGGGCTGGAGGCGGTTGGCTTGGGCTCTGGGACTGTGTTTGGTTTGGCTGTGGTGGCGCTGATGGCTGTGGTTGTGGCTGCTGCGTCTGCTGGGGTGGCTGTGGAGTCTGTGCCTGCTGACCTTGCTGCTGCTGCTGGCTTTGCTGCTGCTGTTGCTGCTGCTGACCTTGCTGCTGCTGCTGCTGTTGATGCTGGAGCTGCTGAAGATGCTGAAGCTGTTGAAGCTGGGAGTTCAGGGATGAGGTAGCTGTGAATTGAAGAGAGAGAAGGAAGTTATGTAGGTTTCAGTAACACCTACTGTGTTAAAGATATTCTGGATTAAATTCTGGTTCTGTTACATCGTGGGGCACATTGCCCATGGTGGCCAGCTGGCCTCAGGTTTCAGGTTGTGGCAGGAAACACATACCCATTGATAACAGCCTGTGGTTCTGCCAGTGCAGTTCTGTGGTAACTATCAGACTTCGCTGAAGGCAATGAAATAAAAACTTTGGAAGGGCTGCAGCTCTGCCCACAGGATGGGCGTCAGAGCTGACCAGCAGTCTTTGCTCAGACAAGCTTACCAGTGAAGCCAATGGGAATTCTGACTGCCTAGAGCAGAAGCAAACTGTACGCAGCATAGTAAGAACTCATAAGATGAACTAGTACTGTTATATATAAAGGAGGAGAAAACCATAGCTGTAAAATAAGGGATGCTCTGAAAAGAGCTCTGTTGTGTCTTTATACAGCAGGTGTCAGGAAATAAAAGTCAGCTGTGAAATTTCTTGTGTAATGCATAAATAGCAAAAATACCCAATAAAATGTGTGTGTCTGAAATGAGAATTGTTCCTTATCATTCACATCTAAAAGCTATAAAGTTCCTCTTGTGAAATAGGGTAGGTTTCCTGTGCACTTGCACTGCTCACTTACTCCTGGTAGTAAAGGCCTACCGTGTTTTGCTAGCATGTGCTCCAAATGTGACACCCGGAAACTGGTAACTCACATCAACCTGCTGGCACACAAGGGCAAATGTTATCTCCCAGAGACACTTTCAAATTGACTAGGGCATTCATTAAATTCAGGAAGCCAAGAATTGTACCACAGGGATATCACTAAGGAAGAACAGCTTTAAGCAGTGTCCAGAACATCACAGGAGCCTGATGCTTTCTGGGGTTATGCCCTAAATAAGTCACCTGGGTCTCCAGCCTTACCCACTTTAATCAACACCTTAGGAGGTACATTAGATGGCTATAAGATCCCAAGAGGGACAGCTTACAGGGTCATTGCACTATTTGGCACTCGGTATACAGCCTTGACAAAACCACCCTGTATTCTAATTTCCATCTTCAGAAACAAAAGTAAACTGGGAATGAATCAAATCTGTTGTTTCTAAAATGGCATTCAGATTTCCTGGCCAGAAATTCTCTTCACCAAGTTATTTGTGGATTGGCAGATAAAGCCAAGTCTTCTCCACTTTCTTTTCATGACGACATCCCTATTTCAGCTTTCTAGATGTCTAAGCCCTGGGGATGAACCTGAGGTCTTGGTATGACTTATTAAATCAGTGAGCCATAAATAAACTGGAATAAGCAAAAGAAGAAAGAAAAGAAAATGGAGAAAGATGAGGAAGAATGAGTAATCCAGGAAAGGCTGTATGAAGGAAAAGTAGAAGGCTTGGTAGGAAGAGCTGTTGGTCATCCATTTCTATACTCACAGCTGCTCTAGATTTTCTTTCACCAGAGCTGGGAATCAAACTACAGATACACCTTTACAAGAATTATAGTCATGTGTATGTGACTTCAACAAAGAACCTGAATAATAAAGTGAAGGAGGACTGATAACACCAATATATTTCCATCAGGAAAGTTACTGAGGAAGTTTTGTGTTTCAACATAAAACAGAGTGAACATCAGATTAAAAACACACATAGTATCTCATGAAAAAGAAATCAGCCTGGAGAAGGAAAAGTACACTCCCACTAATTACACAGTCAGAACTTGCACCTAAATGACCCAAAACCAAGAGGGTAGTAAGTGGAAATATAATCTAAAGCATATAAGAACAAAGAATGGAGAAGGTATGTATACAAGAAAGCAACTGCATAGAGAAATATTAACTATGGCATGAAGCCCCCTCAGCTGGCAAGGAATACTCTTCACCAATTCTGTCTGCAGGTATGTACACAGAGGCAGAAAGACCATTCCCATGAGGAAAAACTTAATCTAGATCAGCTCTTTATCTTCTGAAGGCCGTTTTCTCACCTGTGATAGCTTAGCAGTCTGGACAAAAAAACCCAGAACTAAGGCTACAAACAGAACAGTACATGCTGTTTCCACAGACTCTAATACAGAAAAGAGTAAGACAAAACTTAGTGGGGTAAGTGCATTTTGTAGTGCAATGGTGCCCAAACCATTCTGCTCCCACAGGACACTCTTAAAGGCCATGGCTTAGAAGAATGGATTTGTCAGAATGCCATTCGTAGTATGCAGAGCACTGGGTCATGAAGTAGGGGACGGGCAAAGCATTCCAGATGGAGGGGAAGTCATCCACTGAAACATTTTGGGCACGGAACATGCTTGTCTCCTTGAGGTATGCCTTTCTGCTAGAATTTGGAAAATATGGCCAATAATTTAAAGAATGTTGGAAGTATCACTCTGAGATAACATGAGGTAAAAGGATGGAGGAATCTGTGATTCTAATTACATAAAAGTACAAAACCAGGGCTGCACTACATTTTTGTCAATGATCTTCTGACTGAACTTAGGGTATGCAAAAAATATTTTTTGATATAATATTAAAGATAAAAGCATAACTGCCTGGACTTCTTAAAATAGTGACATAGAAGATACGAGGAGGATGGTGAAGAAGCCCAAAGCGTGAAATAAATGAAGTTTCTTGACAAACTAAAACAAATGAAGGCGTGGTTATGTGCCATTGCAACAAGTTTATTATTTTCTGTGTTTGCATATAGCTGAGAGCAATCAGAAGACTAATATTTAATAATTATTAGTTATTAGTGCTCATCAGAGAACATAAGATTTTCTTTCAGAATGCTTTCATTGAAGTGATGCCAAACAGTGATAAAAGTAGCCTTGCAAAATTAGAGTCTAAAGCTCATATACAGATATACAGAAATAGTACTGATTTTTTTGTTTACTATTGGACAAAGATCCACACTTACTGAAATACTGCTTTACTAAGCGTATGAAACTGCATAAGAAAGAAAGATTGTATTGTTGCACGTGTTGTGATTTGCTTCCTAGAACAGTCATCCTAACGGTGTAGGCCTCAGTTCCACTAATGGGTCATGCCTTTGATCAGCTGTTGAATTACATTCTTAAAAATTAAATCTTCATTAAACTTCCACGCTCCACAAGACCAATACTCTGTTCAATGGACATTTTGGTTTGCACAGTCTCTCTTCTGTCAGCACAGAAAGCAAGGACAGAACTCAGAGGGAAGAAAAAGGGGAAAAAATACCTCAAGAGATTTTGGTTTTTAACCTAAAATTTTGCAGGTTCAGGTCTGACTGAGCTGCTAACGTAGCTTATGTCAACTGCCCATCGCCGACATACTTCTGCACATCGTCAATGTGAGCAGGTCACTCAGCCAACCTCATTTATCCAATGAATGAAGAGGCTCTGCAATTGACTTGGGAAACATCAAGTCTGTAAATTCCATGCTCGTGCCAAACGCTCTCAGATGATGTCTTGATGTGGGATTTTTTCATTCCCCGTCTAGGAGTAGAAAAGCTTTGCATTCGGCACTGCTCAATACTCAAATGTCGGACGAGGCAGGAATATCAATATCTCTACCATTCACCTTTGTACTGGAAGTGAACTCATTCTTCCTCAGGTGGAAAATGGTCCCTTAGGGACAATTTTGTTGATGGAGGAAAGTTACTTCATGGGACAGTTTCCAAGTTCATTGCCAGCAGCTGCACAAAATTATTCAAATAACTTCTGGTCTTCATATCATTCCTTTAGAAAGCCTCTCCGAAGCCTGCTCACACGCTGAGCTACAAATCGCGCTGAAGTGGCTTAGTGAGGTCCAATCGCTTAACATGTTGTTGCTAAACAATCAGGTCGGGAATTGAAAGAAGGTCTGTCAGAACAGACGGGGCTTTCCCGAAGCCAGAGAACAGGTGTGCTGCAAAGGTGGATTTCAGGCTCCGGATCATGCCCGCAGTCCCGTGTTCCCGCTGCCTGACTGCACTGCCTCTCACAATGTGTGCACTATCCACAGCAGGGGTTGTGTCATATTATTGTTTGTAATCAAATCCCATCCAACTCCCAGCGCTTGCTTGCATACCTCATCCATTATAAATCGTATACCTGTCTAGCATTTGTCACTTTCTGCAGAGCTTGGAGCCTGATGGAATTTCAGGTGGTACCACAGTGCTGTGCCTGCATGTATAAAAGATAACATGAGCTGCCTAGCTCACAGGAATCGTTTTATGACTTACTGGCTAACAGCTGGGTAAAACTTTGACATATTTAAGTGAGAAGTGCCTACTTTCTTTTAGAATTGCATTCAAGAATTAAAAAAGCTTGCAAAAGAAAACACAAAAAAGTTATTTCTGTGGTTAAAAGAGACAACATAAAATACCTCACTTTAAAAGGGAGATGAGTAACTAATAAAATGCATGGCAGCTATGAAAAACTGTGAAGAAAATCAACAAATTGTGTGTGACATTTTAACTTTCCCTAACAAAAATACGTGTCGAATATATACCAGGTATCCAAGAAGCTGGTAAGAAGAAGAACCTACACCTACAAGGAAACTTTGGCATGAGGGGTTTTCAACCTTGAGTTTTAACTATCATTTCTTGGTCGCTGCAGTGCCGGGGCAGACTTCCCAAAGGATCGCCCCATGTTTTATGATCCTACCTTAAGCGGATTATGCTCAGCCACAGTATCAAAGCATTTACTTTAGAATAAGAGATACGGAGTTAAGTGGTGCAAATGGATGGTCAAGAGGCAGCAAAAGCAAACTTTCTGATCTCCTAGATCACCTACTTCTATACTTGTCACAGACCTCAGACAACTCTGAGGACTTAGAGACCTAAGGAACATGCTCCTTGACTTCCTTTGGGGAATACCTTAGGCACAGTGCTGATATGCATTTACAATATTTACAGAAAACGTTGTCTTTTCATGTTTTCGTTGTGTCTTCTGTTCCTCTGCTGGTTACCTACACGGGAAACTGAAATGAGCCTAAAACGCCCCTCTGTCAAGTAGAGTGGAGCAATGGGGACAGTTCACCTCTGAT